AATAATTATTGAAGAATTCTAGGACTCTATTCGTCTGGCTTGGCTGATTCTTTCCCCTCTCCTCTGCCTCCTCTTCCACGATCTCCTCTGCCTCCTCTTCCACCTGTCAGTTCATAAATTAGTACGGAAATTTGGTTGTAACTATGTATGTTTTACCAAACAAAAAAAACTTTAGGAAACTTGACTTGACGTCGTTAAAAATAAATTGGGATTCAGTTTAAAGCTGCAGTGCTGAAATAAGAGCCGAGCCGAACAAAACACAAAATAGTTCATTCACCTAAAAGTATGACCTAGCGATAAAAATCATGATTCTGCCCTCTATCCGGTAGTGTACGTTATGAAGTTTAGTCAGTCTCATGGCCAAATTTGCCCAACTTTTGTGCGAATCCGATACTTTAATTGTCGTAAATTGAGAATGAGATCAATCAACAAACCTCTCTGGGGTTTTCCTGCTGGTTCAGCTTCCTCTCCTTCTCCCTGAGATTGTTGTTTTCCAGCTCCTCTGCCACGGCCCCTACCTCCTCTCCTTCCTCTATTCTCCCCTCCCTCAGTCTCTACTTCGCCTGCTGCATCCTCCTTACCGCCTCTCTTTCCTCCTCTGCCTCGTCGTCCTCTCTTTCCTTCCCCACTATCCTCTGTTCCTTCACCTTCTGGCCTACACTCTGATTTTCCTCCTCTTCCTCCTCTATTCGTCTTACCACATTCGTTGCTCTAACCAGAGCCCTCTCGCTTGCAGTAGCGCGCGACCGCCGGAGTACGCGTAGGCACATGGCTATGTGAACCACATTCGCCTCCTTCTGACTCTTTTCGTTCCCTACCTTGACCCCCTTCCTTGCCTCCTCTTCCTCCCCTACCTCTCTCTCTACCTTCTTGTCCTACTCTACCGCCTCTACCCCCTCTTTTGCCCCCATCTGGAGCAGGGCCCTCTCCTTCCTCTCCAGCATTCCCTCTTCCTCCACGGCCCTCTCCAGCATTCCCTCTTCCTCCACGGCCCCTTTGCCCGCCTCGGCCTCCTCCTCCGTCATTTTCTACCTCTTCCGCATCTTCTGAGATGAACAATAAGTTTAAAACAACGTTTAAGTTTAAATTATTATGAAATTTAGCGATATTATATTTATAATATCACTACAAATGCACGACCACTTCTAACTTCGCGGCAAATAGCCACGAAGTGGTTCAACTTTAACTTTAAGTTTAACAGAAATCACGTATCGCGACGTGAGACAAATTATAGTTATACTTACTACCTACAAATCTATAGCCATAGGGCTGTTTTCTGTCTTATTGGAACTGCTAAAATGGCAAGAGATGTCTCCTGTTCAACTCACCGACTTTAGGTTTCAAATCTGCTGCCATCTTTTTTATTCAAGTCAATGCTACTTAACAAACGTCTGTATCAAAGGAAATAATAAAATACTCACATTCTATCCGCTCATAGTCCTAGTCATAAAATCAAGTTTGCGTGGGACTTAAATTTGATTTTACTTCTTGGCTTACTAATACTATACATTCTGATTTTTGGCTTACAGTTACAATACACGTTAAATTTTTCAAATGGAAAATTATTGATTAAGGAAATCTATTAGTAAATGATATTTTTAATGTACTTAACACATCCTGGTCGTGCTTTCCAGTATGGGGCGAATGTAACATGTAATGTGTAAGGTCACATTCGGAAGTACTAGTAGAATGTAACTGTAACTGTAAGGGCAAAGTAGAGGGACAACGGTAAGCTTATAGTTATAGGTGTAAGTATAACGTATTCCGTGTAAATAATAATACTCCAATTCGGATTTTACATGTAAGTATAACGGTTTAATGCGATTTATCAGACTTTACCAGACTGAAGACTCATCATTTAAGGTAGCCGTACTGGTAAGAGTAGGATACTGATAGTATTAGTATAAAACCAAGAACAAGCTCTGCCTGATTGCTGATTTCACGATTATCGGAATGTGTGATACCTATCAAGCGAATCTTTTATAATATAACTATATTAATATATAAGGGGAAATTACGATATTATATGAGGTTTTGGAGAATTTTTAATGTCAATTCTGGAACTTCTTCCATGTTTCCAGTCCAGATCCGAGTAATTATGAATTAGCTGAAGTTTAACGGGTGATACTCGTAAAATATCTGAGTCCAACTCGGCGCGCGTCCTGGTAGGTTGTAAACCTACAAGCTGAAGTGTTTGCCAACCTCTAGCAGCTGCTGAATTAATATGTACTGTGCGCTACACCCTCATAATCCCAATCTCAGAGCCGAATGATGATTAATGGCACTGACTACACTCGACTGTCACCTGACTTTTTAAATATGTAATCATATCAGTAATAATTCCTCTACCATGTTTTGAACTAAAAACAAACCTTCTGGATTGTAGCGCGATGCACTACTGGGTCGCGCGCGCATCAAATAATGCTTCTCGCAACCACAACGTATGCAGATCGGCGAGATGCGAAGGATTGACATCGTGAATCAACTTCTGGACGACTTCCGATGAGTCCTAATGCCTGAAAAATAGTAAAGGGGGTAAAATAGTATAGCCATAGGGGATGCTATTGTGTATTGCTAAATCACTTTACAGTCTGCAGTCGATCTTCGAGATTTTTCTAAAAGCAAAAAGGGCCCCTGACAGTTGACGGATGTTACTCGTCTAAATTTCTTCGAAGTAGCGAAGTAGTGTGGCAAGTGCTACGAAGTAGCGCGCGCCGGGCCAGATCATTAACAATGGTCAACCCTGACAGTTGAAAATTAAATCTACCTGGTTCAATATATTTTCGAACGCTGATTCCGAATCACCCCACATGACATAGGGTTTAAATGCTCCCCTAGCTGCTTGTAGGTTTACAACCTACCAGGACGCGCGCCGAGTTGGAACAAATATTTTACGAGTATATCACCCGTTAACGATGAATTGACATCGTCAATTAAGTTATAGTTATACTTTATTATATATTGCTCGTTCGGCGAGATGCGCTACTGTGCCGCACCGAGCTGCTTGCTCTAACCAGAGCCCTCTCGCTTGCAGAAACAAGCGTGTCACGCAGTACCCGTAGACACATGGCTATGTGAACCGAGCTGCGGTGAAATTCATGAATTGACATCGTCAATTAACTCGGCGCGAGGCCCAGTTAAGTAGTGCATTGCGCTACAAAGACACAAAGTACAAGGTTAGTGTTAGGGTTTCAGCATATGCTTCAGTTAGGGATTGCCGGATTGGGATCAGATAAGAAGGTTAGGGTTTCGAATTGACGGATGTTACTCGTCTAAATTTCTTCGAAGTAGCGCGCGCCGCTTTCTTCTCGAAATGGCAAGAGCTACGAAGTAGCGCGCGCCGGGTCAGATCATTAACAATGGTCAAGGTTTCGAACAGTCATTGAGAGCCACATAGACACTAGTTGACGGATGTTACTCGTCTATTTTTTTTCGAAGTATTAACGGGTGATACTCGTATAATATCTGTTCCGTCGACGAGTCCAACTCTGAACTCGGCGCGCGTCACGTCCTGGTAGGTTGTAAACCTACAATCGGAGTAGCGCGCGCCGCTTTCTTCTCGAAATATTATGGCCCGATGGCAAGTGCTAAGAAGTAGCGCGCGCCGGGCCGGACCATTAACAATGGTCAAAGCACTAGGTAAGTGGAAGTCTTAAAGGACCAGTTAACTGAAAAATTTGTAGTCTCCAATTTGGCTAAGATTTAAATCAGCTGTGACAAACTGGTAAAGAATCGTATCGCCGAAAGAACCAACTCTCTAGCGTACGTGTACCGCGTGTTATTGCAATAATAAGCTGTGGCCTCGTGACGTCATAAAGTCCCTCAGTGCGCGCTTGCATAGCGTAATTTACATTACAAATGTTTATCATCGTCAATAAAACACGTGTAACTCACTCAAATTTTAGAATTATGACTATTACCCTAGTTCTCCAAAATCCTTATAGTTTTGGCTATCATCCTAACTAAAGGAATAGCTGATTGGATGTACAGTGCTCACGTCATGATTTTAAACAGTGATATAGGTTCTTGAACAGTGGCGGGTGAATGTACGGTTAGAAAGTTTCTGCTATTACAACTTATGTCATATGTGATAATTTTGGATTGTTTTCATTGCTTAATTACACAAGCAGGGAGACTGTACCGATTATTTTTCCCCAGTCCATGAAACTCTAACGAATTTAGAAAGGATACAGATAAGTAGGAGTTTGTTCAATTCCGAGAGCAATTATATTTATAGCATAGCGAAATTTCTAACTTTAATCTGCAAGTGTCTGCCAGTACAGGAGACAAGAAGTCTGGCTACTTTACGGCCGTTCCTCTGGGACCATTAGTAGAAGTAGCTTCTATCAGAACAGTGCCGTGGGAACAGAATTCCCGCCAAAATACCCGGTCTACCAAATAGTAAAATTACTGATTGGAGGTGTGTACGGTGTGAGGTGTGTTTTGAATTAGACTTCCGGCTTACCTAGTTGTTATCCTTATTGCATTATCATCGGTGCATAACATAAATAAACTACTGGTAAGTTTAAATACCAAGTGCAATCGTGTTCAGTCGATCGACCCACTGAACAACTATAGAATTTCCAAAACCCTATTATTCTCTGGCCATATATTACGGCACGATCGATTGTTAGATGGCTAAATGACCAACGTTAATCTATACAATTCTAAAACTATGAGCTAGCACTTTAATCTAAAAATACCTTTTTTATATTACTCCTGATTTTTACATTTCACGTAAAACATTGTCGCCAGAGGTTGATCATGGACACTAACAGCTTAATTTGAGATAAATGACTTATGAGTTTCTCTAAAGTTAACTCTAAAGTTGTGTAGTCCAGTCATTTATGGACATTTATGGAAATGAACCTGCAAATGTTCTAATACTCACGAAACTTTGCACAGACCTTCCCGAAGTTATGATTAAACGATTTTCGTTTGGAGACATTTTTTTGACCGTGGAGAAAACCCTGGAGGGCCACGCCCATATTGACCCAATAACGTAACCGACCCCTTGCTTCTGAAGGTCGTAGAGACTTCAAAATAGGCTTGAACGAAGCCGCATATGCATGTTTATATAGGAGTTATTGAGCAACACATGGCCTAAAATCCTTACTTTTCGATAAATTCGCCAAAAACCATTTTGGGCGTGGTGCTAAGCCCATTTTCGATATGATCGTGATGGAGTCTTCAGACAGGATGCAAAAGAACCGCAATTAGCATATTAATATATGACTTACGAACAAACATATGCCTTAAAGTGCTTACTTTTTCAGTTATTGGCGAATTTTCGGTTCCAGAAATCATGCAAAACTATGGGTATCTGTTTAATTGGGCTATGAAGGCCCTAAAGGTTTTTGAATGTGTGCAAATTGTGCAGAATGGCCATGTTTATATACAACTTATGAAGCAACATGTACCCTAAATTACTTACTTTTAGAGTTATTCGGGGGAAAAGATTGTATTATGTCCATTTTTTACCTGTAAAATACAGTCTCACGAGCTACTCTGCGCGCAAGAGGGACTTTATGACGTCATCGCCAAAATAATACAAACGCTATTTACACGCGTTAGAGAGCAGTTAGAGATTTAGGAATTTCGACTCGTTGCTTAGTTTGCTATTTGTCACAATCCGTCAAAATATGAGGATAACTTTTTTTTCAGTTAACTGGTCCTTTAAATAAGTCTCGTGACACTTGACAGTAGAGTGTAGAGTGATTAATCATCATCCGGGCGAGCGTGACCTGTTAATCAGACAGGAGCGCTCGCAAGGCTGTCAATACTGGTCTAGCAATCACGCTTCGGTCTACAGAAAAGTGATTAATCATCACCCCTCGAGTAACAAATGAAATTTTTGAGTTGTATTCTCCCTTCTGGAACAGATAATTTAAATAGTTACAGATTAAAAAATAACTAACAAATTCTCCAACTTTTCGTTTAAGCACCCATTTGGAATCAAAGTTTGCCTTGAATTTGAAACTGGAGCACGAAGTGCTTGATAAACATAAGATTGAGCTAAAAACAC